GCCGCACCCCGCGGCTCCCACGGGCGCCCCGTCCGCCTGCTTCCGCTGCCTCTGTCGCCTTCGTCTTCAGACGGCCCAGGTCGGGCCCGGCTCCCGGCTTGACTCCGCCCTAGAAAACGGTACCTTTGCTTGGCCGTGTTACCGTTTTCCCCTGCTGCTCGCAGGGAAGGAGAGGCCTTTGCAGGGCGGCTCGCCGAGGAGCATCGGGATCTGCAGCGTGGCTGCGGGTGAAGCGCTTCTCGGGACGGGTTTTGTAGCCAAAACGAGTAGTTAAAATGGAGCTCTGGGGAGGATGTTTGTGTCCCTGCCCCCAGGACAAGCAGCCTGTCTGCTCTTCTGGGCTGAAGGGTCTCTGGCCTCCGTGCCATTGTACCTCCAGTAGGGAGAGAGCTGCATCTTCACCCCGTGTTCAGGTAACTTGGGTTTAGCTCGTACTGAGAGGCGGTCCGGATGTACCTTTACCCACAGTAGCTGGTCACGGTAAACGCTGGGGTAGGATTTCCCAGCCTACAAGGCACGCTTTCAGTTTTGCCTCGGTGTAAGTCACCATCCGCTGGGGTTGCAGGAAGGAGGGCAGAACTGACCTTCAGTAGCTACAGGGAGGTGGCTTGTCTCCACCACTCACTTTGTTATGCACCTGCTTTGCAGTGAAGACAAAGCTAATGTAATAGCAGTGGATGGTCTGCTCCTGCTACCTATTTGCACTCTGTGGCTCTTGGCCCCCAGCGTGCTCTCCTGCCCCTCCATTGGAGTGTATACATTTCACTTTATAGGCATTTCTTCCAAAGCCCCGTGTGCAGTGTTCCCATTTAGCTTTTACCAAGGTAGTAGAGATGAAATAATAGCTACAGGTCTCTTGTCCCAACCATTTATTAGACTATGGAATTTCACACCTAAGCCAGGCAAGGTTCTTTTGGGTAAATGTGATATCTTTTAATAGACCAACTAAACAGTTGGAAAAAAGGTTTTTGCAAGCTTTTGGGCACAAACAGCTTCTTCAGGCATAGGGAGACTCTGCTGCTGTTCGAGTTCTCCAAGGTGGAAAAGAAGTTAAAGTAAACAAGAAGTCTGTGAAAATGCAAATGAGTGGAAGTGGGGAAAATAATGGGTAGAGATGGATGCGGGGAAGGGAGGGAAATGTGTGAAGGAATGCAAGTGGTCAGCTGGAGGTTACCTGGTGTGTCAGATGTCAGGCAAGTTGTAATGTGCCATATATCCAAAGTCTGTATTAAATCCATGATTTTTTGTATCCAGTCGATTTATGAAGTGAAGGTCATAGGCTCGCCTAGGAAAGGTGTTTTGTAAGTTCCCTTTTGAGAATTAGAACTGAGAGTTCGGAGAGAGGGACTGTCGTGAGAAGTGTGCGTCCACAGGTAATTGGATATTTTTGTCTTTGACGGACTTTTGGTGTACATGCATTCTGGTGTGCAATTGGTTGGTTTCTCCTACATATTTTCCATCAGGGCATTTAGTGCACTGGATGAGGGAGATTACATTTCTGAAGGTGCAGGTGTAAGCAGTGGCAATGCGTAGGGGTGCACGGGGTGCTTGTGCACCCCCTGAAGACAGCGCTCACCGCTGAGGCAACGGGCAGGGGGGCAGGCATGAACACCGGTGGCCCCCCTGCAAGTGGTGGCTGATCGCTGCGCTTGCTACAGCCACTTTTGGGAGTGGCTGCAGCGATCGGCTGGCGCTTGCTCTCAGAAGCGGCTACAGCCACTCCTGGAAGCAGCTGCAGCGAGTGCAGCGATCGGCCGCAACAATCGGCCATCATGGGATCACCCGGGGGACCCCCCCCCCCCAATGCCCACAGGGGAACGCCCCGCTCTGGGACTGGTCGCAGGGGGGCATATGCCCCCCCTGACTAAGGCGGCAGTAGTCGCCCATGGGTGTAAGATCCAGCAATGGTGCTGATTCTGTTGTGGAAAGCAGTAACTGTGGGAGTGGTGGAGATGAGTTAGCAGGTCTTACATTTCTTGTCCCGGCATGGTCTGGATCCACTTTGATGTGATTTGGGTCATAGGAAGTTTGCTTTTGGTGATGAGGTTAGTGAGGTTCAGTGCTTGCTTAAAGGCTAGGGTGGGTGGTTCTGGAAAGATCTCTTTGAACTGGGTCTTTTTCTAGTATGTGTTGCAATTGTTTGAGGATTTTCCATATAGGTTCCAGGGAAGGATATTATAACTAATGGCGTGCGATTTGTAGGGATTTTCTTTTTGTGCTGCAGCCAGTCTTTGAGTGGTATCTGGGCGACTCTTTCAACTTCCACTCATTTGCATTTTCACAGACTTCTTGTTTACTTGAGCTTGTTTTCCACCTTGGAGAACTCGAACAGCAGCAGTCTCCCTATGCCTTGAAGCAGGGTGTTTGTGCCTGAAAGCTTGCAAAGAACTTTTTTCCAACTATTGAGTTGGTCTAATAAAAGATATCACAGCTACCCAAAGAACCTTGCCTACGTATGTCCTAAGACCCAACATGGCTATAACCAACAGCCCTGCAACGTGTAAGCCGGTATATTTTCCAACAGATGGGCAATAACTTGATCTTGCTTACCTAGAATAAAGGTTTGGTTGTCACTTGCCACAATGTAATTTGATTTTGGTTAGTCCAGCGATGGATATTTTAATTATGTGGTAGTCTGAGTGCTTTTGAGGAAGGGACATTTTTACAAAATGTTTCCTTTCACAGTGTGATACAGAGTTTTGTACTGAAGACTCATATCTTTGCACCCAGAAAGGTATAATCCATTCATTGCAGCATGTCGCCACAAGAAAGTATCCCCAGTCTCTGTGCTCGTGGCATGGCCATGTCAGATTCCAGTGAATCTGTGAATTCTGCTAAATACCTTATCACAAGGACAGAAAATAGGAAAGAAAAGCACAGCGAAGGGTAGCCTGGGGCTAGAAGGGAATGAATAGAGTGCAGAGGCAAGTGTTCAAAGGATTTCTCCAGCCAGTGGTCAGTTTAGTTTTATTTTGCATGGGTACTAAAATTCTCCTTGTAACTAATAAAAACATAAGTCTCAGAAATTAAAGTCTCCATTCCTGCCATGTCTATATAATGTTAGGGTGTCAAGTCTAGTTCCCTCTGTTCCTTTTTTTTTTTTAGTTTATTTTTTTAAGTATCTCATATTTCTGATGTGGTTTCTTAACACTCCCTGGCTGCTTATTGGTTTCAGAGGGAGGGAGTATGTCTAAGGCTGCTGCAAGTCAGTCTCCTGGCTTCTGTTGCAAATTCTGCCATTTCAAACCACTGCACCTTTCTGGGCCTTAGTTTTTTTATCTTTGTGAACCTGGAATAATACTTGCCTTACAAGAGTGTTGAGGAATTTCCTACTCAACCGAGTACTTTTAAGATGAGAAATGCAATAGAAGTGCTGTGGAGTTTGTATTGTTGGGCAGGAACTAAACTGGAAGGCAGTCTTGTGCCTTGATAGAGGCAGGGAGGTTCATTTAGCAGCTCAAACATCAGTTGTTGTTTCTGTGTTGCACAGAAAAGGGGTCCAGTGGAACGTAAGGATGAAGCGGTTCATGAGGCTGCTAAATAAGAATAAAAACAAGAACCCACCAGAGGCCCAGCTGCTGAAGTTAGCGGGACAGCTCTGCCAAGATCTCCAAAGTGTTTCTCCCAGCTTGCAGAAGCTAGTGCAGGCTGTGATGGAGTGCAAACACCGGATGCATTTCCTCACCAGCATCCACGTAGTCCGAGCCTGTGTGTTTGTCCATATCCACTGGGGTGAGCATGAAACAGCCTGTAGGCTCCTGGAGGTAGGAACATACTTTTGGTCTCAATGAACCTGGTGAGAGGAAGTGAGATTAGACCTCATACTTAAAACACAACTCCAAGAAGAGGATTAGACGATTTGGGATCCTCAAGGAGTTTGGAGGAGGGTTGCACAGTCCTGACATCCATGGAGAAACCATGGGGAGAAACATTTGTTGAGAGAGAGAATTATTTCTCTGTAAAAGCACTGAGGGCCCATGTCCATTCCCAGCTGCACTGGGGCAATTCTTACTGGAATTAGGGCTACTCAGGTGCTGAAGCTTGGCACACATACGTGCACTGGTGTGCCAGTGCCTGAGTAGTCAGCTGTTTGCATCACTGAGCCAGAGGTGAAATGGTGCAAGGACGCCTGGACTATCTCTGTTCTCTCAGTATCAGCCATGCAGGGAACAGAACTGTTGTCTGAGCTCCTTTTATCAGCCTTAAAAATAAAAGGCTGACAGATGTGCAGTAAGCTTTTTTCCTTCAATGTGTCACTCTATGTGGGTTAGAAAAGGAGTAGTAGGCTACAAAAGAGCTCCAAGCTTGGGGAAGATTACAAATTCAATTGAACCAGTTTGAATCCCTGTCTCTTCGCGTCAGGGTGCTGAGGACTCTCTTTTCTATAAGGGGCTCTGGTTAACTGTGTGGAGAGGGTGTGCTTAGCCTTGCTGTCATCATAGCATTGCAGGGTAGAAGAAAAGAAAGAGCTGGTGGCACTTTGGCATGAGATCCACTACCACAGGGCTATGGAGAAACACCGCACTGATTCCCTGACACCAGTGCAGAAATTCCGCTGCAGGAAGAGGTACCTCTGGCAGGGGGATATTTGGTGCTTCCTTCACTGTGATAGGAGGTCATGGTGGGTGGAGGTTAAGGGGCTTGCTTACACCTTAAGATGCTCCCTTCTTGGGGGAATAAGTTTGTCTTTGAACTTGAAGCTTCAGCCTGCTTCCAGTATGATCAGTATCCAAACTCCCATTGATTTTTATTGCTGTAGTCCTGGCATCCCAGTGATCATGAATTTTATTGCATGCAGGAATCCTCCACCAGTTTCCCTTTGTCCTGAAGGTTTGAAGAATCGAAACTATCCAGAAAAGGTGCGCAGAAAGCTGCAGAGGTTTGCTGCAGAGGTGACAACAAATCCAGACAAGAAGCAGCGGGTATGGATGCTGTGTGCTGCATTGGCACCAGGGCTGTTACTGAAGGTTTCTTTTGTGGTCAGGGCTCCAGAAATGTTTCTATTCTAAGCCATTCTTCTCAGTCACTTGCAACTTTCACCTTTGGGGCTGAAGTTTTGCAGTCTTGATCTAAGACCCCAAATGTCCCTTCTATATACTTCTTTTAAAATTCAAGCAAAATAGCTACTGATGCTCTGAAGAACAGAGAGATTGGAAAAATACCTTCTCAATTGTTAAAAACACTACTTTATACTGATGACACTGTGAAATGGCTAGATGAAGTCTAGGGAAGCAGCCCTCACTGAGAAGTGCTGGAGAGAATTATTTTGATTATTGGTTTTGAGTTCACTGAGTTATCATCTGTTAAACTTGCATTTTGCTCACATGTGTGTTGGACACAGAGTCTCCTCACTAAACTCTTTTTAAGGTTTCAGCCAGAATATACAGTGCTGTGGAGTGCGCGGGCTTAATTTGGCTGGGCAGGGCCTACCTGGATAGTTCTGTATTCTGAAGTTTCTTTTTGTCTCTTTCTTCAGAACTGTTACAGGCCCTACAAAATTCCAGCACAAATGTATATTAGGAGGACATTAAGGTTATCTAGGTGAATGCTCAGAAGTCAGGAAGTGACAGTGTAAGGTTGTATGCTAAGCTAAAACTCTGTCCTCTTATGCCTGGACATTATAATATACAGCCTTTAATTATACAATCAGATTATTTATCAAATTGTTTAATATAAGAGCCAGTTTTTTCTACAACCTTAGATATGCACCAGTGTATTAGTCAGAGTCCTGAAAGGTATTTGTTTAAATATGTAGTGAACCATTCTTATGCACGTAAGTCCACCATAGATCAATAGGATGCATCAGTTACACAGTTGTTTCATAGCTATGTCCCTTATGCCCTGAACTGCACTTGGAGTTGTACTTCTGGAAAAAATATGTAATATATGGTGGCTGAATAAATTATCAAGGTACTTGTGAGAGAGACAAACCTGTTATATAAAGAGCCAAAATGAATAAGCCCATACAGGCTTATTGTCAGAATAAAAATAAATACAAAAAAATTAAAGAAACATTGCAAATTGATATGCACATATCTAACATAGGACAAATTATATTATTTAGAAAATCTGGTTGTTTAATGTGCGACTGTAATAATCACTACATGCAAGGGAGAAAAGTTAACAGTTACAAATGCAATTGAACTGTGTTATTTCTGGCTTCTGATCATTTAGTAGAAAAGTTCTTTGTAGTTTTTTGTGCAATGGGCAAGAATTTCAAAGGTCCATTCTAGAGTCTCAGATTTCTTAGGGGCAGAACAGCCTGTTATAATTGTTCAGTCTGACATCTTGCAGGCAGCATTTCCTGCATCAAGCCCAGTAACCTTCATTCTAGTGGTTAGTTTGCCTGCTCCATTAAAATCATGAAGGCAATTAACCATTTACTGAGTTTTGTCAGTTAAGTGTACATCTGTTAATTGTATGGAAGGCAAAGACTCACTGGAATACCTGGGACTCCCTTCTCCAAATGGGATGCTTAAGGAGAATGTATTGTTTCTACCTTCTTCCTTTTCATGGGCTAATTTATCAGGGGTGGCTGTGTGGTCTATCCAGTTTATGAGGGTCCTTGGTGGTTTTGAAGCCCACACTGTCTGGTTGCTTTTGGAAGTGGGAGGGACAAGCCTGGTTGTTTGGATATGGTTTATTCTTTTTCCCTTGCTCCTCCTGGGTTTGCAGGAGGGTTTGGCTCAGGACACAAACCTGCAACCAAATCAGGTCTATAACTGGTTTGCCAATTATCGTCGCCGTCAAAAGTCCCGGTTCAGTCAGGTAGAGAGGCTTGTCAGCTCCACTCACGAGAAGGTTTCTGCCCACCAAGCAAAGCACCAGCCAGAGAGTGGATCTTCCATGCCACAGGCTGCAGGTTAGTCTCCTAGTAGACCTGGGAGGTGGTAGAGGCAGCTGAGAGCCCAGCAATAAGCAGAAAGGCACTTTTTACTACTACTGTTTCCTTAGGACCAGCAATTCTGCACTGCTCAGTCAAGTAATCAGTGGAGGACTGCTCTGGTCAAGCTGTCTCTTTCTACTGGTAGCCATCACCGTGTGGAAATAGGTCCCCAGTATCAGTCACCCCCTCTCTCCATGGAGCAGGGATCAGTGACTGGCTATTGGAGATGTGGCCCTGCTATTGCAACTGGTTGTTAGAGTAGACACTGTTGGGTGGGGGAACAGCAGAAGTCACAACAGTTGCCAGTGCTCAGACACTGGTGACATTTGCAACATTCCCAGGGGCCTGGCATATAGCTTCCCTACTGTCCTGCCCTTTTCCTGCCTGGCCTGTGAAAATCCCAAAACTGCATCTGCTGTTCTGTTAAAGAATCATAGAAGAGCAGGGCTGGAAGGGCCCTCAGGAGATCATCTACTCCAACCCCTGCTCAAGGGCAGATTATGCTTCTTTAAACCATTCCAGTCAGGTGTCTGTCTCTCCTGCTATTATAACGTTGGATTGGTAGTGAGTGACACCTAGCCAAAGAAGACTAAAGACTTTCAGCAGCCCAAGGGAATCTCCCTCCCCTGGTTAGTAGGTGGCTGTCCCCATGCAACCTTCAACCCTAAGCCTGCAGGTCATTGCAGTAAAACCCACAACTGAGTATTTTCATTGCACCCTCTCAGAGTGAAAACAAAACTGTTTTTGGCTTCTCAGTTGTACTGCATTTAGGGCTCCCAGGGGTGTCCCTTCACTTGCCCTGTCTAATGCCTTCCAGATGAATTCCATTCAGACATTGGCTCAGGGCATGTAGAGCTGTCCTTTGTGCCTTGTGACCCAGGCTGGGAGCAGTCAGCTGCAGATGTGGACTGTTCTGCTGTTAGGACATATTCAACGTTGCTGAATTCCAGGTGATGCATGAGAGTGTCTCATCCCTGAGCAAAATGTTCTTTAACTTCTGTCATGGGACTGACCCTTCCCCCAAGTTGGCAGTTCCCAGGGAGGGCTGTGTGGAGAGTCTTGACTCCTTTCATCAATGGACATGCCCCAAGATCAGCCTCAGACAACCTGAGCAGCCGGCATAAGTTCCCCTGCCTGCCAGGAGTGGGCCTCCAGTGTTCAGCCATGTGTCCCACTCCACAAGAGCAGCAGCATAGGTTGGGTTGCTGTAGGTACTGAACAGCTGTTTCTCCCCTTAAGAGATGCTGCTGCTGCTCTTTGTAGAGCAGCATAATCCAGTCTCTCATTTGCTGCATCACTACAGCTTTCTGCAGGGCAGCCCATTACAGAAAACCAGGTCAAGCAGAACTTCTGTGACTGCTCTCAGTGCTGAGGAGCCTGCAGCTTTCTGTACTGAAGCTGACCTGGAACCTGGAACCAGCCTTAGCTCCATCATCCTGGAGACCAGAGAGGCATCCAGTTACAATGCCCCCAGCCCCTGGCTGGAAAACCTTGTCCCATGCTGCTATGGGCCACTCCCCTTCCAAGCAGAGCAGTTGGATGGGAGGCAGCTGATGCCCAGCGCAGGAGGAGTCTCTGGCGAAAGCAGCTGGGCCCCCCCCTGGAGCCCTGGCACAGCAGGTTAGTGGAACTGCCTGGTTCAGAGCCCCTGGGGTTTTGCAGACTTCTGCCTTTGTCTCCAACCCTCCTGCTCCCCCAGACAGCCTCTGTAGCATGGTAGCAAGGAAGGAGGGCAGCTGGGTTTATCCTAAGCTCTGGAGTCCTGGGACTGACAGCTTGGGATCAAGTCTGAGAAATGTAGGCCACCAGACCTGGACTAAGGTTTATTTTTCCTCCCCAACTATCTCTTTACCTGGGATGCAACCCCTTCTGTGAGAGAGCGCTTCCCCAGGCAGCTGGGTCCTGCTTGCTCTGGCAAACTCTCTTCAACTGTTTGCACTGGCCCTGATGTCTGAGTCTTTAACCCTCCCCCCCTTCCCAGTTCTCAACAGCTTAGTGCTGCCTGTCCATGCACTCACCTCCTGGCTGCATCAGTCCTTCCGCCACACACCGCACTTCCCCTTACCACTTCCCTTTCTCCTCCCTTGCTCTCCCTTCTCTCCCTTCCTTCTCTGTTCCTCTGTCTTTTCTTCCTGCCTTGTCTCCTACCCTTCCTGCAGTTCTCCCCTTCTGAAAAGCAGTCTCAGTTTGACACATCATTTAGTTCCTCTCGAGCTGAGATCAGAGGGTGGATAAAGGGGCAGGAAGAACTGCAGCCAGGTGCTAGCTAATTACCATGTCTGGTCCTGGGTGTCTGACTGTAGGGCTGAACTGAGAAAGGGCCTTTGACCATGGCTTACGCATCTCCTGAGAAGAAGGGGCAGGAGGAGGCTGGGTTTGCCACTTGAGTCTCATTGTCTGCAGCTCTCCTAACATGAACATTTACTTCAACAGGTGTCAGAGCTCCCTTGAGCTGGGTCCCTCCAGGTGGCTGCATCGAGGCCAGTTCAGGAAGCATCAGTCAGCAGGCAGAGTTAGAGGTTGGAAGCTTCATGCTTAGAGAAGGACAGCTAGGGTCTCTGGAAGCAAGTCTTCCTTGCAGGTAACAGGAGCAGAGGGCACAAGGCCTGCTGAGGGGCAGCAGTGTAGATAGGTTGCTGTGCCAAGTGCATCTCTGGTCTCCAAGCAGTCCCTGCCTCTGAGTCTGCATCTCTCACCAAGAGCCTGGGTCACTCATTGTGCTTCCCCTTTGTAAGCATTTACACTGGTGCACAGTGGATGTGAAATGCAGTCATTTCCCAGGTGAAAGTGGTTCTGCATGGTGCAGGGCAAAGTGGATCCAGGTCCAGTAAGAGAAGGCACAGACACCTGTATCTGAACAGGCTTAGCTTCTGAGCCACTTGCTCAGCTCATCTGTGGCATAGCATCAATTCTGGTGATCCTGCCTTGTATATTGACAGTTGGGGTAATAAGGCCTGTGTGAACTGTCCAAAAATAGCTTTTGGAGACGTGTAGCCTTGTGACAAGCTTTTTCTACAGGGCAGACTGTCACAGGCCACAGCTTTCTGGTTCTGCTCTTGGGTTTCTGCCCACACAAAATACTTCATGGTTGCAGAGTTTTTTCTCGTTCTTGCAAGTTCAGTTCATGGTTTGCACAACCTTTCCCTGTTATTTTCATGATGTGCTCCAGCAGCAAATGCTGCAGAACAAGCATCATGAAGAAGTTTTCCTTTACTTAGCTGCAGGACCTGTCATATCAGATAAGTAAGTGGGGGAAGTTTTGTTATTCCCATTTTACAGATGAGGGAGATCAGGGTGAGGGACTGGAATTAGAACCCCGTGTTTCCTAATTCCCAACTCTGCTTAAAAGCCTCTCTTCCCTCCCCTGTCGGCCTGACGCCTACAGCTATTGCTGTGCCTAGCATATCCCATGTTTTGGCTGGATCTAAAACTGCATGTTCTGGTCCCAGAATGAACATGTGCTTCTTTTTAAACTATGCCAACATATGGGGAAATCCTTGGTAAATGTCACCTTGCTGTAGTATGTGTCTTGGGTGCATACGCTTTGTCAGGAATCCACCCACCACTCCCCTGGATCAGGCTTCTGGCAACGGGAGCCCTGCTGACTGCAATGACACAGATTTCCTGAAAGCAGTGAATTTATTCTCCCCGTCTCTGCTGCTATGCATTCATTTACTGTCCTACCCAGTTCCCTTGCGGGGGTGGGGATAGTCTTGAATTGGCATATAGGGGAGATTTTGAAGTGGTGTGGATGCTGAGGCACAGAAGTTTCCCTGGTGGTTGGGGGGCTCCTAAGTCACTAGAGCACTCTTGAAAATTTTATCCATGGAGTCTTGACACCACCAATGGTTGTCCTTAAAATGGCATGGGCAAGACTAGTAATCAGTGTACAGCAAGAGGGTGAGGAGGCCACTGTAACTGGAGCTAAACATGGCATCAGAGGAAAAGCTCAAGCCCTTCTCACACACACGCATGCGTGCAACAAGTCACTGTCACACACACATGCACATGCAACAAGTCACTGTCAGAGCCTGGAAGAGAGGTCCAGTCATTTGCTCGCTCTCTCTGACCACCCTCTGCCCCTCAACTGGTTGCTGATAATTGCAGGGGCAGAGCTGCAGGCTAATCAAAGGAGCCTTAATCGGCTTCTGTCTCATTTTAAAGGTGCTTGCCCTGACAGGACTCGGGCTGAAAGCTGATTAGAACAACTCCAATTGATTTCCTGAAGGGGCTTTTTACAGTTGGAGAGAATCCAGAGGCTTAGGACTAAATCCAGCTTTGTGATCTGGGCTTGGAGCTGTGATGTGGGGGTGTGAGGAGGAAACAGGCTGCGAGTTTCCTGCTTCTCCATCTGGTCCTGCTGCCAGACAGAGGAGCTTGGTCCAGGTAGTGAACTGGCAGGCTGTGTGCCCCAAGCAGCTGCTTGTTGTTAAGGCCAGCCTTGCAGTGACTTTTTCACTCCTTTGATTGGAGCAGATGGAATTTGGCACAGCTTATGAGCCAGACAGAGCAACACTCCCTAGTGATCTGCATTTCATACAGAAAAGCCCACTGCACCACAGGCATCAAGAGAACCAGGATTTTCCAGCCAGCCTGTTGGTGCAGGGAACTACAAAAGTTAATATGCCCATTGCAACTTGTGGATGCTTCATGGATTGCTGGGAGCCCAGCTCAAGCTGCTAGCAAGTCTCCTTCCAATGGGTCCTCTGCGTTGCGGTTGTTGAAACCAAACATCTGTGAGGGGGAGTATTGCAGGGAGCAGCACCAACTGTGCTGTTAATGCAGCAGGCAGCATCTCTGAAAAAGTCACTGTGGGAGAGGAGTGAGACTCCTTCTCTGTCCATCTCCTCTGTCCTATCCCTCTAATTCTGTTTGGTCTGTTACATAATATTTTATTTTAATATTTTTATCTGTCTTCATAATGTATGTTTTTTGGGGTTTTTTGTTTTGTTTTTTACTGCAAGTCTCCCTCAATCTCTTTGGGAGAGAGGGACATAGAAATCTAATAAATATCCTTAGCTTAGTGCTACAACTAAGACCCGGCCACTTCTGTTGTCCCTGGAGAGGACTGTTGAGGGAGCCAGGCAATAGGTGTGGATGAAGGACAGGCTGAGACTTGGGACTCCCAGCTAAAGGCCTTGAGAGACTAGAGGAGTTGCTGAGGATGTTATGGCTAGTTCCAGAAGCTTTGTGTTTTGACTCGAAGATCATTGTTTCTGTGATATGCTCCAGGATAGACACAATCTTTGGTCAATGTCTGCTTGCTGAAGAAAGTCTATTAGGCTCCCTTTATATGTGTAGGTAAAGGCACAACTGGCTTGAATGTGTGATGCACACGGTTGCACCTCCTGCCATGATACATGTGCATGGAAGGAGACAAGATTATGGGATCATGCATTAGATCCAATTGTGCCTTATTGCCAGTGCAGGGGGAGCCCAGTCCTAGGCTGCCCCTGCATCCGCAAGGAGCAGGCACCCACGGCTGTGAGCCTGCTTTGCTGAGGGGGCTTCTGGTTGTGGGTGCTACACATGGCTGGTACCCAGAGCCCCTGCAGGGTGACAGGGCCCTAGGTCCAGATTGACCCTCATGCACAGCTGAGACCCAGAGTCCCATCGGCTGCGGGAACCCTGGGTCTCAGCTGTGCATGAGGCACACCTCAGACACAGAGCCCTGTGTAAGCCCAGTGGTTCCACACCTGTAGCTCCCAGCTACAGGGGACACTGCTACACATGCAAATTAAAGCTCAGTAGCAACACATTTTAGAGGTCTAACTTTATAGCTGGTTGGAACTTTCTATTGCATGATAGCTACTTTGCGCACACAGCTGGTTTCAAGGTAATGACATAATTAACCAGTTAACTGCACAATACTTGTAATGTGCAGAGGGGGCTTTAGGTACAGAAACAAAATTGAATATCTAGGTGCCATTCCTCATCACCAGTCCTGGCAGTGACAATGCTCCCACTTCAGGATCTCTTCTCTTCTTACAAACCGTGATGGTAGGGTTGGGGATGTGGCCTGGGTTTTATATAGTCCTTCCCAACATATGCATAAAATCTTCTCCCTCTGCAAATGCTTTGTCCTGCAGGGTCCCCTCCATTCCAGCTGCTGGGAGTCTTTTGTAAACAGAGAGGGGCATGATTGCAGAGGAACACCCAAAGGGTACCTAGATTCTGATGTGTGCTAATGCTTTTCTTTTCCAGTTCTCCACAAACTGAGCTTGGCAAACCTCAGTGTCTCCCTGTGTCCATGCCCTGTTTGGAGGAAAGCCAGGCTTCGGAACATAGCCAGGTAAGAGAATGCACCCAACCTACAGAAGAAAAGACCACAGTACATTCATTTTGGAGTACGATCCCCCTTCAGGTGGAAATGGGAGATGTGGAAGTTTGGACTTCCTTTAAGAAAACCATCATGGTGGGATACCCTCATCCCCCTTTCTGAGCTCCCCCTACAGGGAGCTGTCCTCACAAGAACAGATCTCCAAGGAGTCATTTGTCTTGTTCATCTTGAAAATCTGATTTTGATGCACAACCTCAGAGATGGGGGATATTCTAGGATGATTTCTCTTTTGGTGCCAGCTACAGCCACTGCAAATGGCCATTACAGGTAGTCCTGAATTGCTTAATATGAAGAAGCACACAGCTATGCTATTTCCAAGATTTCCAACCCGAATCATGGTTTTGGTGCCCTGGCTGGTGCTTTCAAATATGGCAGTCTAAGGTTAGTCACCTAAATCAATAGTGACACCTAATTTAGTAGCCTGATCTTCTTAGGTGCTGTGCAGTCCCAATCCACATTCATTTAAAAAAAAAAAAACTCGGCATGTTCGGTGCTGGATTGTCCCAATGGAAGCTTCTGTGTGCCAAATTCTTTCAAATGGTTGGCTCTTTTTCAGATGCCCACTAGCTGTTGAGCTTATTAGCAAATCAACCTCCTTTGGATACTGACACAGGTACATTTGAAACATTTTCAAAGGGACTGCTTTTCAGATGGGCTGCCACTGTTACTTGCTTACCCATGGAGGAGCCAGGAATGATACAAATGTAGCAAAACCATCCTAACTTTAAGGCTGGATGAAGCTGTCTTATAATTGGAGTGATTTTGCTGTATTCATTTTGTTCCCTGTTTATCCACATGTAACAACTGGAACACAACAGCTGCTGATCTTCTGAAATAGTCCACTTTTGAAATGACTGCAAATGTATGTTATGTCCATAGGGGAACTTGCATCTCTTCCAGTCTCAGCTGTTCACAAGTGTGGTATTCTCTTAGGGAGACTGCCACTGAATGTCTAAAGCTTAATTTATAATGCCTTTCTCCATTAGCATAGCTGGGAGTAATGTCTAGGGAGACAACTGTAAGCAGTCTCTCCCTACTCCCTATTCAGTAGACCCTGAATCATGACTTCATATTTGGTCCTATGAAAGGAAGTGCAAGTGTTGGGAAAGTCATAGAATCATAGAAAACTAGGGCTGGGAGGGACCTCAGGAGGTCATCTAGTCCAACCCCCTGCTCAAAGCAGAACCATCCCCGACTAAAGCATCCCAGCCAAGGCTTTGTCTACCCAGGTCTTAAAACCCTCCCAAGGATGGAGAGTCCACCACCTCTCTGGGTAACTTGTTCCAGTGCTTCACCACCCTCCTAGTGAGAAAGTTCATCCTAATATCTAACTTAAACTTCTCTTAAACTTGAGACTGTTGCTCCTTGTTCTGTCATGTGCCACCACTGAGAACAATCTAGCTCCATCCACTTTGTTTAACCACCCTTTTGGTAGCTGAAGGCTGCTGTTAAATCCCTCCATAGTTTTCTCTTCTCCAGGCTAAATACACCCAGTTCCCTCAGCCTCAGTCATGTCCTCCAGTTCCCTCACCATTTTCATTGCCCTCTGCTGGACTCTTTCTAATTTGTCCACATCCTTTCTGTAGTGGAGGGTCCAAAACTGGACACAGTACTCCAGATGTGGCCTTATCAGAGCTGAATAGAGGGGAAGAATCACTTTCCTCAGTCTGCTGGCAATGCTCCTACTAATGCAGCCCAGTATGCCATTAGCCTTCTTCACACAAGGGGCATGCTGTTGTCTTGTTATTAGTTTATTGTCCACTGTAACCTGCAGGTCCTTTTCTGCAGAACAGCTGCCCAGCCAGTCAGCCCCCAGCCTGTACAGATGCATGGGATTTTTCTGTCCTAAGTGCATGACTTTGCACTTGTCTTTGTTTAGGAGAGCAGTCCCATGCTCTCAGTCAAATTCAAATGGGAATTTAGGAGGAGTGAACTTCTTGTGGCAGATTAAAATCCTAGCAATTCTCCTTTTTAATGCCCAGTGACCCCTTCTTTCTCCACACCTTCTCCAGTCCCAGTCTAGGCATGTTGTTAGAGGACAATTAATAGTGCCCAGCAAATACAGGGGAGAGAGGTCTTCTTTTACTTAACCTATTTATCAAAGCCGTATGAAACAAAGCATGCATCCCTGAAGCTGTTGCCACTGTTGCCTCTGTAGCCTGTATTTTTATCATGTGCTATTTAACTCAGAAATTTTGTGCACGGCCAGAGGTTTACGCAGGCAGTGCACAGCACATCCCACCTGAGACTGCTTTATGGGCTCATACCTTCTAAGTGTGCATATACAATTTGATTCTGTTTTTCTGAGCCATTAGATTTGGATGTGACACCTATTCCCAAACTCTTTCTTGTTGTTCCTAAAATGGGATTTTCCCCCCTGACTACAAGGCTCAGAGCAAGAAGCCAAATGAAGCACTTACAGTAAATCTTAAAAAAAACAACAACACCCAAATTAGACTAATATCTTTACCATGGCAACCTATGCTTTCCTATACTGATTTAAAGCAACAGCATCCCAAAGATGACAGCTAGAAATCCATTGCATGGGGAGTAGTGGTGGAGACACAATTCTGAATTGAATGATACTTAAACACCAGGATCCCAGTGTGGCAGGGCACTTGGGGGTGCCTGTCACTAAGAGGTCAGGTAGCTTGTGAAGCTGTTGGCAGGTGCAGGCCAAGGCTAATTGGGGGGTCATCTGATCCAGGGAGTGAGCAGGTATAAATCCAGGCCCTGATTGAAGCTGGGAGTAACATCTGGGAGCCTGCTGAGAGAACACCACATCAGCAGGATGGCTGCAGCTCCAGAAGGCCAGCTTGGAGATAACACCTAAAGCAGTCTGGAGGTGTGGGTAGGAACTAAGGGGCTGCAGGAGGTTCCCAGGTACCAGGAAGGGGTCCAGAGCCTAGGGAGAGGCTGCAAAAGTGGGACCAGCAAGGGTCCAGGAACCTCAGAAGGGGGCTAAAGTGAAAGAAAACATCAATGAAGATGCCATGTGTGTGCATGGGGCATGGTGTGGGGGAGGATTGGAACCAGATAATTAGCCCATAAAGCACAGGCTACATGCATCTGGTGGTCGTTTGAAAGAACAATTTAGGAAGCCCTGCAGCAGCCTCCCTCATTAACAACAGCCCCCCCCCAACAAACAAACAAACAACAACACAAAAACATACATCAAAGTATGGTGGGCAACTAGAAGGGGATTTGCTTAGAAAGTGAGGGCTGCAGGGACTCTGGGAGCTTCACAGCCACCCCTGCCACACCCAGGACTCTCCTTGGACTATTGATGTATTTATTTCTTGGCCTCAGATTTCTTGGCTCAGAGAGCACTTAGCAGCAGTTTCTATCTTCATTGTATCAGCATAATCTGCTGGAATAAACTTTTTTTTTAAAAAGAGGAAGGCCACATCTGCTAGTTCCATTAAAGGAAGTAGCTGCAGCTCTGACAGTAACAGAACCCCTTGTGAGCCTCTGAGAGCAGTACTTTATAGGTCTCTGTCTTGGAAAGTGGCCTTTTTACCAGCCACAACATGAGCCAGATAAGTAGGAAGCCTTTCGGTATTAATAATGAATGAGCCTCTTCTAAGATTTCCAGAGCATGCCATTGCTCTGCAGCCAGATCTTTTCTTTTGCCTTGTTGGATTTGCACTCTGATTTTGAGATGGGATTAGAAACATGATGTTCCCAGTAGTGTGGACAGGGCATGAAAAGCCTTACACTGTTTTGCATTTGTCAGAAGGGGACATCTCCAAATTTGATGGGTGCATCGCACTGTAAGTGAAGGGAATAAGTGAAGTGAAATGGGAAACAGGGTTAATTCACTTTGAAAATGTTTATTTCCCTTCCTGAGCTTGCTTTTTTCATCTAGGTAACCATTTCTGTTTTGAGCTAGGGAAATAATTTCAGCAGAGTCTCTTTTATTATTTTTCTGCTTTCTTGGGGATAAGTGTCATGAGCAGAGGGAAAGATAAAGCTAAGCATATTTCTCTCAGCCATGAGAGATAGCAACACTGCACAAATGCTGCTTTCCATTTTTATGTTCTTGCTTTCTATAGATGACTTGCCCTCTCTGTACCTGGAGCAGAACCTTCCTCCTTTTGTCCCCATTGTACCTAACCCGTTGTCACCCTTGGCTGCATACATACCTCCCTATTCTCACCTAGCCTTGGTCAGGAAGGAAACCAGGAGATCATTCTCAATGAGTCAGAGCATCCTGACAGGCAGTGCATGATGAAACTTGTTTTTTATTATATCTTTCAGGTGCAGGAGGATCCCCTAAGCAACCCGGTGGCCAGTGACACTTTCTGGGCAGCATGCCTGCTGTTTGAATTTTCAGTTGGCAGTCGAATGTAACTTGCATGCAGACATCCTACGTTTGGCCTTCTGTTCTTTAGTGGTTGCCCCCCTTTGTCATCAACAGGCTGAGATAATGGCAAAATTAGTCAGGGAGAGAGGTCTTTTCTAGTAGTTGCAAAGTTTGTTTTAGCTATGGTTTTATCAAAAGTTTTATAAATAACAAAGACAAGCCACCTGAGGTCCGTGAAGATCACAGATTTTTACTAGAACAATTTGAAGATGCATAGTCCATTGCAAGTGTTTGATCACTGGTTCTATGGAAGTTACTTTGTTCAGGTTTCTCCATTTTTATAACTGGTCAAGATGGTTCTGGCCCTACCTGTTTTTGTTAATAATGGAAATAATTAAAGCCCCTCAGCTTACTGGGAGTAAAACATCAGAAATCTGCCAGGAGAGCAGGTTTGTGTGGGTTTGTCAGGGTTGGAGAACCAGGAATGAAATCAGCTTTGATAGGAGGTAGCTGCATACTAGTTTGGCAAATCTGTGGTACTGCTTGCTGTAAATTCTGGAGCATTACACATCCTATTGTGACACGGCCACATACTTTGGAGTATGCCAGAATTTACAGTACCTAACAAAACTGTCATATAGGGAGAGATGGGACTGGCCAATGGGTCAGTGCCTAGCAGAAGGTGGATCTTAAATTTCCCACAAAAGTAAGAAGAAAGGAGGTGGGTCTGGGTAGCTGGGTAGCCTTGTAGCCCAGATTGAGAATCCACAGCTCCAAATGGATAAGGAGCTTATTGGGAGGGAAGGGTGTTGCAGTCCTAATGGTCACCCTTCCTCCAGTTTGCAGAAGTCTGAAATTATGGGCCTAATTCTCTGCTGCCTTGTAGTTGATCACTGGATCTACCTCTGTACAAAAGTGTTACAACCCACCACTCTGGGAAAGTAACACCCTGTGGTATTGGTTTGGTGTCATTTCACATCAACTTTGCTTTTATTTCATACAGATGAGGATGACAGCACAAGGTGTGGGGCAATGGAGAAACAGGCCCTATACATTCCCAAATGCCTTGCAAAGCAGCTTTTGGCCTGTATACTTCTGCAGAAGTATACAGCCTCTAACAGGAATCAGTAATCATATGCTGCTGAGGCCTAGCACATTAATTTTAGGCAAATGCATATCTGAGACCCAGTTTCGATGTAGCAGCTCTCCTGGGAGAAGTTCATTGCTGACAGTTCCTTTGGCCCAGAAACCTTTCCCCAGACCAGCCTTACAGCCGCTGCCTGCAGTCCCTCTCTTGTATTTTTTCCTGTACATAAGATTGGGAGCTCAGGGCTAGAACGTGAACATTGAGAGAAAAGGGAGGATCCTTGCCCTCGGTTTAATATCGCAGTGAGGGGGGAATCATTGCACAGTTTTTTGAGAATTTTGCATAATTATTTAATTTTTGAGAAATTTTGAATAAAAAAAAGGGTGCTACTTTCCCCAAGGCTAGCTTTGGATGGCAGGACTGGGGAGGAGGCAGGCACTCTTGTTCATATTGGTAATTAAGTATGTTTTAAAATAAAGGTTATTAATAAACATCTCTGTCTGAACACTTCATTTTCAACAGGCTAGAATATAAAATGAGAAGATATTAGATATGCTTAACTCCACATTTGTGTCTGGACAATGTGGGGATCCATCTGGACAATGTGGGGATCTCTCTCAGGAATTCATCTCTCCAGACCTTCCTGGAGTATTAATATCTGTACCGGTATTTGCTCATTATTTTCCTTCAGCTGCCAGCTCTTTTGTGTTCAGTGCATTTGTGTTTGAAGGGGGCTATATGCATATGCTATTTGGTAAATGACTGAGATTTGGATGCGTCTGAGCATACGTGAAAGTGGAAGGGGCGCTCTCACTTGGTGGATGCAGGGAGAGGGCCTCTTCCAAATCATTTTGGATGTGTTGTCCCTGTCCTAACAGGCTGCCTTTGTGCTGTCACATTTAGCAGCAGCCATCTAATTAGCCTCCCCCCACACAGGTCACTTGCCATTCTTATATAGATATATATATATATATATATATATAATAAAATGCAGAGCAGAAAAGTCAGTCCCTTCAGAGAGCTAGCATTTCAAAGCAAGTCCCAGTCCTCCTCCCTTCTGCCTCCTGATTGGTCAAGGATCCTGGTCTGCCTTTAGCAACAGAGACAAATATATCCCTCTCCTTTCTGATTGGCTGTAGTGTGCTGTCGAGCCATAGCAACAGAGGGAGATGGAGCTGTCAGTCTGACGGATACTGCAGCTCCGTGTATCTTTCAAGAACAATAAGGACTAGGTGCTGGCTGCTGGCGCCTAATGCGAGGTGGTAAAAGGAATCGATAAGCTTCTTCTGCGAGAGGTTCTGGAATCTTCAGGAGACTTTGGGGGGGCATGTAAACTCAGAGCCCAATTTGAACAGGCGCCTCTGCTGTGAGCAGCAGGGAAAGGGCTGCGTTGTGATCTGTTACACAGGTGTCAAGTACGGAGTGCACGCTGGGCTTACACTGTGGTACCTAAGATCACAATCTTAAGCTTCGCCTGCTTCGGTTGAAAGTAACAGCTTTAAGGGCCACTACTTAGCTGGCACTGTTGTCAGCAACGCTCTGAAATGTCTCTAAATGAGAGAAGCAACCTCCTATCAAAATTCATGAGGCTTCCTGACACATGTAGATTTGTAGACTCTGAAGAGGGTATTTTATCACTTATCCTAATAACATTGAGATCCCACTCATATTATGCCTGATTCATTTATTCTCTGGTATATGATGTACATACATGGTAGCTTGAATGGTTACGCTTCATTGTTATGGAAGAATGATATCTTTAATTGGAGAGGGAATGATGGTTGTCCTGCAACGAGGTATTTTTTCAGCATCACCTTTTGAAATACTTAGTGCCTGAGACCATCATCCAGGACACTGGATTCGATGGCCCCATAGCCTGACCCAGCATAGCAATTCTTATAATTCTTGTCACTCAAAATTAAATACTAATTACATACCATTTCCCCCCCGCCAAAAGTACACACGCCAGGGCTTGCAGTTGTTTGAATTAACTGCATTTCTTATATTTCGGTGACAATTGTTCTTGGGTCTATTTTCTTACAATGGCAGCACACTTTTATTAATATTTTGAAAGCGATGTAATTAGTTGTGTTAGTCCAGAGTCAGGCAGAAGGTAGGGCAAGGTGGAACCTCAGAGACTAACTTGTCCAGAGAGGCATAGGCATTTGTAGGCAGCAACCTACTTTGTCAGATGCTATGGCATCACTCAGCATCTGATGAAGTTGTCTGTTGCCTATGACAGCTTATGCTTCTCTGAACCATTTAGTTTTTAAGGGTACCTATACATGTGCTTCAAGATGCAGGGGGTGTTTTAATTAGAGTGACTCTCCAGAGTTGCTCTAATTAAAATGCCTGCAGCATTTTATGTATTTAGTGTCCTGTGTTTCAAAATGGCAGTGGGGGCACTTTAACTAAAACTTACTTGACGAGCCTTAGTTAAAGCACCCCCACTGCCATTATGAAATGTGGGATGCTGAAAACACAAGATGCTGCACCTATTGGAACACTTGAATAGGCACCATAAGGTGCTGCCCTGCCCTGCCTTCTGCCTATTATTTTAAGATGATTGAAAAAAATGTATGGTTTCATAAATCATAAGAATTAAACTCAAGTCACCAGAATCCCTGAGGTAGGCTTAAGCTGGAGGTCCTAGTAGCTGCTCCCTGGTTAAATTTGAGTTAAAATTTACAGGACTAGAATGCCTGTTTCACTATTTTAATTCATTAATTAAGTTTCTGAATTCAGCACAGTTTCTCTTTAGAGGTCAACTTAATTTTGAGTTTTCTAGGTCAATTCCCCAAATGAAATACCTTATTATTTTATCCAGAACTTTGCATTGAGTCATTTAAGGCATGATCTGTGTGGTTCCCAACAAATGAAAAAGTGGGTTACTTGTATCATCATAGAAGACTTTAAATCAGGTAGCAGAACCCACTCTGACCCATCCAGAGCCTTTGTATCATTGTAGCCTGAATACTATTTATTCATACAATTATAGAAAATTAGGGTTGGAAGAGATTTCAAGAGGTCATCTAGTCCAATCCCCCTGCTCAAAGCAGGACCATCCCCAACCAGATCATCCCAGCCAAAGCTTTGTCTAGGCACAGGTCTTGAAAAACTCCAAGGACGGAGCTTCCACCACCTCTCTGGGTAACCTGTTCCAGTGTTTTACTACCCTCCTAGTGAGAACATTGTTCCTAATATCTAACCTAAACTTCCCTTGGTACAAGTTGAGACAGTTGCTCCTTGGTCTCGTCTGCCACCACTGAGAACAGGCTAGCTCCATCATTTTATGAATCCCCCTTCAGGTAGTTAAAGGCTATTAAATCCCCCCTCAGTTTTCTCCTCTTCAGACTAAATAAGCCTAGTTCCCTCGGCCTCTCCTCAGAAGTCTTGTGCCCCAGGCCCCTCACCATTTTTGTTTCCCTCTGCTGGACTCTCTTCAATTTCTCCACATCCTTTCTGTAGCTGGGGCCCAAAACTGAACCACAGTACTCAGATATGGCCTCACCAAGTGCTGAATAGATGTGAATAATCACTTCCTTTGATCTGCTGGCAACACATGTACAAATGCAGCCCAGTATGCCGTTAGCCTTCTTGGCAACAAGGGCACACTGCTGGCTTGTATTCAACTTATTGTCCACTGTAACCCCCAGTCCTTTTCTGCAGAGCTGCTGCCCAGTCAGTCAGCCCCCAGCCCATCTGGGTGCGTGGGATTGTTCTGTCTTAAGTGCAGGGCTTTGCACTTATCCTTGTTGAACCTCATGAGATTCCTTTTGGCCCAATCCTCCAATCTGTCTAGGTCACTCTGAATCCTAGCCCTACCCTCCAGTATATCTACTACACCCCGCAGCTTGGTGTCATCTGCAAACTTGCTGAGGGTGCACTCTATGCTTTCTTCCAGGTCTTTGATGAAGACATTGAACAAAACTGGCCCCAGGACTAACCCCTGAGGAACTCCACTTGATACTGGCTGTCAACTAGACATTGAGCCATTGATTATTACCCTTTAAGCCTGATGCTCCAGACAGTTTTCTATCTACCTTACAGTCCATTCATCCAGCCCATACTTCTTTAGCTTGCCTGTGAAAATGCTGTGGGAGACCATATCAAAAGCCTTGCTAAAATCAAGGTACACAACATCCACCAGTCTCCCCACATCCACAGAGCCAGTCAGCTCAGCATAGAAGGCAATTAGGTTGGTCAGGCATGACTTGCCCCTGGTGAATCCATGCTGACTGTTCCTAATCACCTTTTTCTCCTCCAAGGGCTTAGAAATGGATTCCTTGAGGACCTGCTGCGTAATTTTTCCAGGGACTGAAGGGAGGCTGACTGGTCTGTAATTCCTGGATCTTCCTTTTTCCCTTTCTTAAATATGGGCACTATCTTTGCTCTTTTTAAATCATTTGGGACCTCTCCTGATTACTATGAGTTTCCAAAGATGATGGCCAGTGGCTCAGCAATCACATTAGTCAATTCCTTCAGCACCCTCAGGTGCATCCCATCTGGCCCCATGGACTTGTACTGTCCAGTTTTTCTAAGTAGTCCATAACCTGTTCTTTCACCACTGAGGGCTGCTCACCTCCTCCCCAAATTGTGCTGCCTGGTGCAGTATTTGGAGCTGACCTTGCCTGTGAAGACTGAGGCAAAAACGGCATTGAGCACTTTAGCCTTTTCTGCATCCTGTCACAAGGTTGTCTCCTCCATTCAGTAATGGACCCACACTTTCCCTGATCCTCCTCTTGCTATCGACATACTTGTAGAAACCCTTCTTGATACCCTGCACATCTCTTGCTAGCTGCAACTTCAGTTGTGCTTTAGCCTTCCTGGCTTCATCCCTGTATGCTTGAGCAATACTCTTATACTCCTCCCTATTTGTTTGTCCAAGTTTCCACTTATAAGCTTCCATTTTATGATTTAGTTTACTGAAGAGTTTCCTGATGAGCCAAAACAGTTGTGTCTGCCCAAAATGTTTGAGGGGTTAAATGTGTTTGAACAAGTGTTTGAAAGACATTCTTTTATAAAGGGTTTGCTGCTCTGGTTGAGCTTTGCATGCAGAGCAGGGTGCAGAGAGACTGTCACTTCCATATTGGTAAGCTGGCACGGGCTGGATGCATTGTAGAGTGGTAGAGGAAAAGATTGAGTCAGTGCTTTATGTCAATAATATTTATGATATCTAGTACTTGGCCCTCCCTGCCCTACAAAAAAACAGTGCTGAGCAACAGGACTGAGAAGAGGAGACAGGGAAATTCTGAGATGATGTTCTCTAATACTATCTGGGTCAGTATCTGAATTATCCAATTTGCATCTTGCCCTATCCTAGTTTACTAGTTGTGATTTACATCTGAGTCATTTTGCTGTGCTTTCGTAAAGTTTTGCTCTGCTGAGACCATGGAAACCCCAGGAGCACAAAACCAACCGGGTTTAGAATTACCCATCTCAGATAAACCCTGGTCCTGCCTTGTATTGCTGT